AAGAAAAAAAAAAAGAAAGCCATGATTCTCTGAGTAGTATGGGGTCAAATACCATCTGCATGCTAATGCCTTCCTAAAATAGAAATGTTTTGTCATGAAGCCAAATTCTAGAATTCTTATTTTGCACACTCTAATGACAAAACTGCCCTGTCTGGGCAAAACTGCAGCCCCATTCTGCTAACCCCTGTGCACAAATGTAAAACTGTTCCTATCCTGGTTTCATGAGTTAAGAGGAATATATACACCGAGAACATTTCTTCAACGGTCTTAAGCTAATTTCCCTGTTGAGACACTGCCAGGTTTTAAAGATGCCCTGGCAGGTGGAAATCTTGATGGAGGACAGACACAAGCAAAACAGTTTGGACTTGTCCCTTAAACAAACTTGCACAGGGACAGGACACTTCCCCTGGATTTGATCTGGGAGGTGTTTTACAAATACATTATCCAGTTCCATACTCTGACAATGGTACACAAAACACATTTTATCGCTGTAGAATCACTACCATTTATCTTCTTTTCATACAAGAAATACAGGATGATTCAGTCAGCCGTTACAGGATGGCAAAGCAGGATGCCTCCTCCCCACCATGATCTGTCCAGGAGAGCAGAGGAAGTAGATGGAAGAACCTGTCATCCACTCCTTACCTCAAAAAGAGTACATGCTCTGGCTGATCGCTGGAGTAGCACCAGCTTTGAATTACAGGGCTTGGACACAGAGAGAAGAATGAATATGAGAGCCAGTGAAAAAATGCTGATAGATTCCAATTAAGTTAGAGCTTCCCTAAGTTACTTTGCTTCTCTGTACCTCAGCAGGCTGATAACTGAGACAATTAGGCTGTCATTCCCCCAAAAATGCCAAGGATTCTTATATACAGGGAACCAAGGGAACCAGCTGGTTGGTTCCTTCTAAACCAGTGGAAGCTAATAAAATGTAATATCACTTTTATGTGCTTCTGAACCATCAAGTGTAATCAAGTAGCAAGGGCATAATTGCCATATATTCTGCAGACCATTTCTCAAAACTAATGCACAGTTTAGCATTTTCTTTTAAATCCTACAGGACCTTGCTCTTCAAGCAACACTTCTGAGTAGAAGAGCAGGAGGAAACGTCTCCAGGTAACAGCACCTTCAGCTGGTCATTAGCAGCATCTGAATATACTGTGTCAGCACAGGCAACCATGTGGGAGTTTAGTGGGGTGACACTTGGTAGGAAACAGGTAGAATTTACTGTTATGACTGCAAATTAAACTGCACCCACTGTCTACATGTTTCCTGAACTCATAAAGCACTGTTAGCTGTGGAATTCACGTTCTCTTATTCCTGTAGCCTCTTGGGTAGCTTTGACTTCTTCAGAGCCATACCACCACTGTTATTAATTCCCTAACAAGACAGATGTGACCTGCAGGGAAGACTCAAACCTGGGACTGAGTGCCAAAACTTGAGCTATAACCAAACACTATCTGCCAACTGAAATGTAGGAATGACACAGTACATGTTGGTCCATAAAGGTTAATACAGCATCTATGTAAATACTTAACAAGTGATACAAATAACTTAATTGCTAACTGTCTTTATACAACTGGATAAGAAAACTGATTCTGAAAAAGAGCTAGAAAACTAATCTTTTAAACCTATACCTATATTTTGCTTACACAGTGGGAACATCAAGACACTTCATGCTATGGTCCATGACAAGTACACAGCCTTAATTTCACAGCCTTGAATTCACACAGACCAAGAGAACTACAGGACTGCAGGCTTTCCAGAAGTGTCAAAATCCATGACTTATTATGCAACGCCATTAGAGTTCCTTATTTAATCCATCAGTTTCACCTTTCTTTTGGGACACTGAAACGTAAGTTAAATCCCAGGACCAATACATTTTCCATGTTCTCCTCTAATGTGATTTTCCTTATTCATGCTGTTGCAACCTAGCACATGGTTAGGTGGTTAGCTTGCCTCTTAGCTGCTCTAACCAATAAATTCACCGCACCTACTCACTATAGGCTAAGGGAACACTAAGTCTCCTCCTTTGTCTCTTAAGCTCAAATACATTACAATCACAAAGCAAATTCTCCTTCCCTTTATGATATCCCATTGAGTCTGACGGTCTAAACTGAGGTCTGGTAGCTTGTGTGGAACATAAAAGAAACAGAGTCTCATGATTTAACTGGAGCTCTTGTCTCCCTGACAGAATTCATTCTTGCATTACCTGTTCACACTGACTAGGTGGCAGCATTGAATATATTCCTGCAGCTTGCCAAATCCCCAGATTATGAATATGCACCCCCTGGTGTGTCTATTAAAATTGAGACTGTTTTTCTTCTTTTTCTTTTAAAAGTGAAATGATGTGAGGCTGTAAAGCAGAAAGAACTGAAGAACGGAAAAGACACTACAGCAAGAAGAGAGCAGCTCTAGTTCAGCAAATCCTTGAGACACCGATTGTCAGAGGCTGATGAAGCATTCTGAATAAGTACTACTTCATGCTTGTCCCATTCTTAGGCTCTTCCTCAGGTATCTGCTGTTGGTCACTGTCCCTCAGCTGGTCTGGTCCACTGTGCCTGTTCTTATCTATGGAAAGTATTTTGTACAAATGATACTAAAAATATTGTGACCAACATCATGGCCTGCAGCCCGTGCGGGGCTTCACCACTATACAATTAAACATTCTTCAGGTTGGCCTGTCCAGGAGTAACAGCTAGTCTCTCAGCCCCCTCCCTGAGATGAACTCATACAGCCCACCTCTATTTTTACCACGATTCCTAGGTTACAGTGATAATTCAGTCACGATAGTATAGGTATACCACAGGCAAACCAAAAAGGCCATAGGGTCTTACACAGCTACGTGTATGCAGACGCACAAGGCAGCAGCCCTCACCATTCCCATGCTGGAGAGGGCTTCTTTGAGCAGGCCATCAAGAAATATCTTATGGAAACACAATTTATGAAACAAAGGAGGAAACAGGTCAAATTACATTTAAGCTAGCAAGCTGAAGTAAAGTACCTCTGTGTTCCTTTTGATCCTGACTGCATGATAAAGGGTTGAATTCTGCTGATACTGCAATCTTCTTCGGTAAAGAGTTTATTAGAAGTTACACAGAAGTGATCCCACGGTACCACAGGTACAAATGGATGTCAGGAGGGTACTGGCCTCTGTTGGAAGGCCATCCCTGCCCATACAGTCTGAGAAAGGAGCATCTCAGGTGAATGAGGAGGCAGCAGTTGCAATGAGGTCACTGTCAACTAGGTTGACAAAAGTAGCTCAGATGATCTCTCCATAAATCCATGAATAAGACATTTCAAAAGCAACTCAACACTTCCTGGTTTTAAGGAATTTGAATGGGCCTCATTAGCAGAAAGGGCCAATGGCTGGCCCTCTGCAACAGGGTCGGAACTTTATCTTTTCTCAAGGCAGACGTTCACACTGTTTTAGGGTACATATGCCACCACATAGCTTAGTCACTGCTTTATCCCCTCACGCCCTACTCTAAATCTGAAAATAGCTGCTAAAAGCAGGTGGCTGTTGCAATCTATTGTTCACCTGTTTGACAGGAACAGTTTGTAAATATTTAGCATCTTGCTGCGGGTTTGTTTCTCAGAGACAGAGGAACTGCTACCACATGCAATGAAGCACAAGGGAGAACTGAATCCTAAAGAGCATTACAGGGCCTTGCATTTCTTGTGCAAGTATGGTTACGTCAGATTTTGTGGGGGTTTTTTATACACATTTGCAGGTACCAAATTCAAGTACTCAGAGGTACAAGCGTACTGTTCTACAGGATGGAGTTCCAGAAGCATTCCAGCTACAGTACCACAGGCTGCTACTGCAAAGATCTAACTGCATGGGCTAGTTTCTCTGAATACTACTTCCCTCTTTTGCACAATCTGTCTATGAGTAAGGCTACTAGCTTTCTACCCTAATCACCTCTCCTGAAGATGAATCTCCGAAGGCTATCGATAGCAGCAAGGCTCACTAGGGGAGTGAGCACAGCTAGGAAACACATCTAGGAAACCACCTGAAATGTTACGCACACTGCATGCAGCACATTGCTTTAGGGGATGTGCAGGTATTGGCCTCCTCCTATGAAGAAATACCACATAAAAGGTTAAATGAAAGCTGAAGCTCACACTGCGTTGTGGTGATGGCCAGGCATGTAGTTTAGCCACAAGGAGACAGAAATATTTAGTCACAAAAGATGTCCCTAATTACAGTAGGAACAAACAACAGCAGAGTATCACTTTATCGAGCAGTGTCACCCAGGCACCTCTACTTCCCTGCCCCCTCCCAAGAGCCTCCTCATAACTATTTCTCTCCCAGATCTTGTATCCACAGGCTTTAAATCAATTCCCACCACAGCCTTTGCTGCAAGTGAAAACAGCCACTCCTGCATAGGGTATGCCCCCTCCACCTCCCTTGTAAATGTATAGAGGCCCGCTCAGCTTCTTTCATCGACCCTGAAAGAAAATTTAGCACAGACACTAACTTCAACTAGGGCTGAGATTGCATTAAAGGTAAAAAACTCACTTGGGGATACTCACCCACACAGTACCTTTCTAGCCATCTCTAGCTCATCTCAGATGGGCAAAAAAATCTGAGGGAAAGCGTCACAGGAATATTTTTACCCCATGAAAAATAGAAAAACTAGAAGTAATTTGAAAATCCAGTGTTGTCACCAAATATGCATGAGTAGTTAAAAAAGGTAAGTGATAAATATAGATTGTTTTAATTCTGCAAATAATTTTTGAAAAACTAATTTGATTCTGGAAATTTCAGATGAACGGCCACATGGAAGTGAATTTGAACTGGATCTGGAGAGCACAGCTTGCCCATCCTATCGTATCTGTAGCAGTATCGCTCAAGAATCAAAACAAAGGAGTAACTTCACATCTGGTTGTTTTTGTCAACAGCAACTACGAAAGCTGTGAGGCAGCAGCACAGGCTTCAGCACTGATAAATAAAGCAAACTGCTGCTTTCACACTTCCTTTGAAAGATAAGATGACTGCGTTTCCCCAAGATGTGACATCGTCTAGTAAGTGATTATTTTCTTCAGGTGAATAGCTAGACAGTTTTAAAAAAAAAACCAACAACAACAAAAAAGAAGCTTTAACACTTAGAAATATTCAAACTTGAAAGATTTTGTTAGTATCATAGATATCCTCCATTCTGATATGCAAAATTTAAGAGAAAGGGTGGGGTTTTATTCAGACAGTTGAAGATTCTGATTTTGCATTCTAACTTTGTTGTTAAGTCTTTTTTGGTGCCTTGTTATTGCAGTAGCTCTTTGGTTTACACTTGCTAATTTTGAAAAAGGCCTTCAGTCAAATTCTGTGGATATCTGGAACTTAGAGGGTATGTGTTAATTATATCCTTTCCATTTATATTCCAGAATATGTTTTTCCAACTGTTATGTGCTTGAAAACCTGTAATCTCTTCTAACAAATATATATGAGATAATTTCACCTTTTCTATTACAACCTCAAAACTCTTTTGTAGTGAGGTTGGTTTATGAGCATTATTTACCATTTTTTTTGTTTATAGCCTGTGTTTATCATGATGGCAAATTATGCTGTTTATTGTTGGATGCTAAAATTACTTTTTATTTAGATTTATTTTTAAAAGATTGATCTGTATCAGATATTCTGTTTGGAACTCTGAGCCAACAGAAATGAACAACTGTCAATATCATTATTACTGCTTTTTGCACCCTGCTTTTCAGGTGCAGCTACTAAAGCAGTATAGCTGATCAGCACAACAGAAATTAGACCATGGAGACCAAATGTGGAAAAAAACCTGTAACACTGAGAATACCAGTTCCTGGGATACCCAATTCCCAGAGTGGTGGAAATGATAAGCAGCCTTCTGGTAACAGGAGGAGAACTATCTCTCTATCTATGCTAGGGCAAACCAGAATACCATGTTCTGACTCTCCATTACTTGCTTGAATTTCCATTTCATCAATTTGACAGTTAATTGTAACAGAACCAGACCTCAAAGCAAATCCTGTATTAACACACTGGACACTGTGGGGCTCTCTTCAGCTCACTTTTCTACCTGTGATGTTGTTCCTATCCAATTTAAGCTTCTATTAAACTTCTAAATCTTTTTAGAACCTAGACTTAGTTCATACAAACTGTAACAACACTTCCCTGCAAAGAAACATATCGTGCTCGATGGTCTCCTGACCAGGGAATTTTCTTCCTCTTCCCTCCCTAACAAAATGCTTCCCACTATCTCACTTCAGGTAGAAAGATTATTACTGTTCTTTCCTTTGAGGAAAGCTGGAATAACTCCATGAACAGTCTGACAAGGCATAACAACTGCTAAGTTTGAGACAACATACAATGTGGATTCCAATTTAGGTGTGTAACAGGCAGGATACTTTAAGATCTTCTGGCTAGAAAAATATCAGGTACCATAATAACAATGCATCATGAATGAATGAAAACCTTTCTAAAGGAAATTGCTGAACTTTCTTTCAACATTTACCATCCACTGATGGTGGGAGGGAGGGGCAAAGGAAAAAGCTTACTGGTCTGTATTTTAGTGGACTGAAGAGACTGGTCTGCAGAAGATAATAATCTCCTCCTATGTTTTTAACTTCTGTACCAGGTTATACACTTGCCACACACTTTCAGTAGCAAAGATTGAAAGTATTTAGCAGAGGTGGTCTTACAATACAGCATCAGCCTTTAAGAGAGCCTTCTTGAAGCTTGTCTAAACCACAACTATTGGGATTAAGATGTTTTCAGCTTCAGCAACTCTTTCTCAGCTCCTTATTGTTCTACAGCATTTAAAAAAAAAATAAATAAATATATATATTTGGGCTAGAAATGTCCACACCTAACTTTGCCTCAAAAATGACTGTACAGTTCTGCAAGGTTAACTTATTTTTATGCATGTAGGACTTTTTTTTCTTTTTTTTTTTTTTTTTCTTTTTTTTATTTTGCAGAAGGGTTAGTAATCAGCCAGGCATTTAAGACTCATTTCTCCTGCTGTCAAACCAAGAAGGAACATAAATAGCTATATTCAGACAAGATAAAGAAGAAAGAAAACTTAAGGTCTTTAAGACCACAAGAACATAACATGAGAATAAATTTCTAGAGCAACAGCTGAAAGGTCACTTTCAAGGACTCCCATTAATCCTTTGCTATCTATTTGATGGTGCCAGTCACCTCATCTCTCTTTCCCAAAACACGATCCATAAATTCAGAGTTCAGGAGCCCAGCTAACTGGGAAATGTAAAGTGTACGACATGTTAAAAAGCATCTTTAATCTGGGTAATCTCTAAAAAAAATATTTTCTGTAGTTGTCAAGAAAGATCTCTTCTCCAGCATTCTGTTCTCCATCGATATGCAGATCTGCTCATGTCAGCATGTGGGGGAGACAAGAATATCAGAAACCAGTGCTTGCTATTTGTAAGAAAATTCTTCCCAGCTGGAGTTAAACATCTACCCTAGCCTGGCTTCCCTATGAAATCCACTGTAAAACTCCCATCTGCTTTCACCAAAACCAAATTAGGGTATTACTTCCTGAATTTGAAAATACCTGTGAAGAACATTAATGTAATAGGAAAAAAAGCTAGTTACAATTTTAAATATTTTGGTCCATCCAGAGAGTGAGCACTGTGTTTTATTTTGGCAGAAAAATATTACAGATTAAAAGTATTCCAATTTTTTTTTTTTCAAGAGTCAATAAGACTCTCCTAAAAGCTAGTTTCCAGTAAGCTTGGACACCTGAAAGATCTGTACTATTTTAGTAAGGCTACTAATGCAATGTTATGTTGACAAACTACATGAGTACCTGGTAATTACTTTGTTTCAGCTTAGAGGAAAGGACATTTCCTTTACAAGAAAGAGACAAGAAACATCAGCTGACTGCTGTTGCAGAGAGTAGGTAAAATAAAACACAGTGCTTCCCTTTCAGTGTACTTTGTCTTGATGTTGTTGAGCCTAACTTACTTTTGCTGGTTAACTTCATTCTGTGCTTGGCCTCCATCTGAATTGAAAAATAAACTATTTTATAAAGAGCCCATAACTTTTCAAAGGGGCATGCAGTTTTATAGTACTTCTCTAGTGACTAAGACACTGCACTGGCTCTGCTGCTTGGCCCCACGGAAACTACTTTTTCAGGTAACATTAATTTTGCTCCACATATTAACTCACACAGTCGAGGCCTTTCTGCCAATCTAAATGGTTCAGAGGTGAATTCTGTTCATCTTACGTTCAGTAATACCTTGTGGTAGGGTTAGTCTCACAGAAACATGTCCTTTGTAGCTCAAGAGAGAGGACACTTAACTTTACACTAAATTTTTGAAAACCCCATTAACCTGTCTCACAAAAGATTTTATTTACAAGGCAAACAGCCTGCAAATCTGGTTGATAGTTATGGCTGTTACTCTTATGTGCTGGCAGCAGCCCTGACAGAAAACAGACCCTTGCCCTGGAGACCTGATAGTGCATCAGCTCTCGAGAGGGGGTGTGATGGAAGGGGGTGGACAGAGAAGTGGTCACTCCTCTCTCTGACAGTAATGCAAATGTTTGAAACAGATTAACCAAAAATCAAACGACGAAGAGACATGAATGAAAATCCTCCACGTTTCCACTAAGTCACTTGAGAAAGGGAAAGGAAGAAGTGCCACCATCTGATGATCTAACATCTAAACGGTGAGCTAAGGCTGAACGGAACCACAGGCTCTAAAGGACTTGCTTACTGAGACTCAGACAACTACTTTTTGAGATAAGTCCAACCCAAACCACTCTGATGCTCAGAGCCTTCAACTTGAGCCTAAAAGCTGAATTCGGTGAAACAAATACCCTTTCTCTTGTAGGTTTCCCCAGAAATCCTTGATCCAAACACTAAAACACTTATGTATTTGAAAGCTTACTCCACATTCTGTTTCCAGAAGCCTCTTTGTAATTGTCTTGCTTACGCTTTTGAGTCCCCATCAGTATAAATCTGGTAACAGATGATGTGTTCAAATCCACCAGCTGTTGTGTTTGGGTCTTGACTGTCAAGACAATCCTCTTCAGCAAATAAGCATATTCGCTCGTGTCTGGCATGAATGCTTTACTACAACTCTGTCTGTTAGCACTTGGGATTTTGTCTATCTCCTGAATGCATTAGGATTTAATTATTTGCTGAGTAAAAAAATCTCAATGTGTCTCCTTACAGGCTGTCTTTTAAAAGAAGACAACATGGCAAATACAGACGCTGCCAACTTTTATTATAACTTCTCCATCATTGATCCCAATGAAAATGGAAGTGAGAATTTTCACACATTTACAACAATCTTCCTGCCCTGCATGTACTCGGCTGTTTTCATCCTTGGGCTAGCAGGAAATGCCCTGGTCTTTGTCATACTAGTTTTCTATGAGAAACTGAAGATGCTGACAGATATATTTTTGCTGAACTTGGCTATAGCTGACTGGGTCTTCCTTTGGACGCTGCCATTCTGGGCATATTCTGCAGCTCAGGAGTGGACTTTTGGCACCGTGGCATGTCGTATTATACGGGGCTTGTATACTCTGAACTTGTACACTTCAATGTTAACTCTAACATCTATCACCTTTGATCGGCTTATTGCTATTACTTTTGCCACCAAAGCACATATGTGTCAAACCAAACGAATGATATGGGGCAAATTAATCTGTGTCTTGATCTGGGTTATATCACTAGCATTTGCCACACCGCAGTTTATTTTTAGTGAGGTGTTTAGTATTGATAAGGCAATATGTCAGGAAGAATACTCAAACCATCACACAGAACTGGTTCTTGAAGTGATCCAAGTGACCCTTGGCTATTTTATTCCCATGCTAGCCATGATCATCTGCTACTCATTAATTATTAGAACCTTACTGCATGCCAGGAGTTTTCAAAAGAACAAATCTCTGAAAAAAATATTTTCTGTAGTTGTTATATTTATTCTTACTCAGTCACCCTATACTTTCTTGAGACTAATAAAGATCATAGACTGGAGCTTTAACTTGAACAGCAGCTTTGAATACGCAATCATTGTAACAGAAGCTCTAGCTTATTTCCATGGCTGTCTTAACCCTGTTCTGTATTTCTTCATGGGGGTGAAATTCAGGAGGAACTTACAGAAAATAATTAAAAACTCAAGATGCATCAAACGGCAAGTTGCAGCTAAACCATGGCAAACCACCGAAGAGGAAGGCTCTAAAACTTTTTCTGCCTCAAATAATGCAGATGCAACAAGCATGTACCCGCTATAAAACTGCCCAGAAAATCTGGCAACTATTTACAGGTGGTTTTTTTTTCTTTTTTTTTTTTTTTGTAAATACTGAGATAGATAGCCTGCATAAAAGAGGAAGTACAATCTCATTAGTAAAGACATTGTGATCGGCTTTAGGCCAACCTATCTTAATCTTGATATTTCAGTGTTTCCTGCTTTTCCTGGTCAGAGCTGATCCTATAACTGACTTAACTGTGCAGAAGATCTTCAAAAGGTGTAAGAAACAATGAGATAAAACTGTTCTTCATGACATAAAACTAACTTGGGCTTCATGACTCCAGAGAGGTTGGAGACATTCACCAATCTGTGGCCTGCTGGTTTTCCATGGAAGGCGTTTGTTAACAAAAGTATTTATGAGCTTTGTTTCAAAGATACTATAGATTTTAGTTCATCTCATTCATTTCATGAGAATTCTTGGATTAAAAACATACACATTTCAATCTTCATGCTGGGTTTCATGTGTGATTGCCTTTTTTGGGGTTATTTTTTTGGTATTTTTTTATTTGGGAGAAGGTTTCTGCACACATTCCGTCAGTGTTCACCCAAAATTTCTGTAATAAAGCAGCATTTTCATCTGTCTTCCACCTAATATCAAGTTCACAGTCTGAATCTCCCATACACATCTTTGTATCTTAGTTCTGATAACAGAGCTCACGTTGTCAGATGACTAGACCCCCTCTCAACACAAGGGATATCATACAACTTGTGGGCTCTAACTCTGAGCAGTGTTTCCATAGACACAAACTCTCACACCCTAATTCCCACACATTCTCTGCACCATGACATCTTCCCAGTCAGTTTTCCTGGCACCCCCTTGGCACCCTGGTTTCTTTGCCATGAAACTCTGGATTCTTTAGCTGTCCTCCTTCCTTCTTTCTGCAGTCCCTCCTTTTTACCTCAGGCCTTTTCACTTCCCAGGGGGAGGCAAAAAGGTGTGCAGGGAGCAGTGCAGACTGTGGCAGAAAGTAGGCAAAAACTCTTGCAGAGAGTAGCAGAACGGGGTGAAGACTGGAGTAGGGAAAAGAAAGAAAGGATGTTGGAGAGGAGCAGAGGGAGGGCTTTATGCAGCTGTGGGCTACCTGTGTTGAAGATAGCATTGGGTCTGGCCCAAAGGCTGAAAGTCCTTTGCATTACAGCTTTGAAATACCATTTTTAACCTGTTTCAAACCATTCTTGCAATAACCATGTTCATTCTGGATTTTGATTTTCTCCCCATTAACACTCAGTCCTTCCTACCAGATCACTGCAGCTCAGTGGTACCTGACACTTACCGGCACCATCGTGTCCGTGTCACCTTTTTCCCCCGTAGGAAACAGCTACTTAGGCAAGCCTTTCCTTACTACACAATCTCTCTTGTTTCTCCCATAGTGAAATGGTGCAACATCCTTCAAAGCAAAACTAGGAAGGAACGTGCTGAGCTTTCATGCCTGTGTGACAAGTAAAGCTGCTATGCCAGCGCACAGCCGCAAGGCAGGCTTTGCCGGCAGAGGGTGGCCAGAGGTGCTCCTGTCCCCACTCCTCTGCAGGCCGGTTCTGAGCAGCACAGCAAAGGCTCCAGACTACATGCAGTTCCCCCTTTTGGCTACGCTGGCACCCTGCCTGGCCATGTGAGTTGTAATTAGGTCAGGAAAGTGTGTGAGGAGTCATCAAGAAAAAAAAGAATCCAAACCAAAGCAACCACAGTGCAGACAGGCAGAGATATCATTTCTGACAAAAGCAGTAGCAAGGTGTGAATAAACTGTTTGTTCCCATACCACAGTAGTGTCAATATTTTTACTTTTTTTTTTTTTTTTAATAGAATTCTGCCGTCTATGATCTTGATTCTGCTGCTGCCACATTTATGGCAGGCATGTGACTCCTACAATATGTTAAAATGGAAACACAGTGCACTGGTTTACCCTAGGCACTTTGACCCAGTGCTATGCAATATCCTGACCCTTGTTTTAGAACACAATCTGCAAGTGTGAATGCTTTAGAAATAAAAGAGTTTAAAAATACAACACTTCAAAAGAAAACCTGTGAGCCCTGAAGTAGCAGAATGTACCGCAAATATTTCAATCAGGTTGATCCAAACTCACGTAACAGACTTTGTTATAAAGTGTGAAGTGACAGCTGCTTAATCTTTAGGAAAGAGCTGCTTCAAGGTCAGCCAGAGTTATGACAGCATCTGTCTCACCTTGCCACACACCTGTGCAGCTCAAGACCAAGATGAGTTCTGTTTCTCAACTGACCTGTACCAATAAAGGAATTCTCTCACAATTTGCTGTTATGAAGTAATGCCATTGTAATCATATCGTGTCACTTCAAGGAAAGAACTACAGTGGTAGGGTTAAGAAGAGAAAAAGTGAAAAATAGAGTAACAGTACAATAGACACCAAAGGGAGGACAAATAGAAAGAAAATGTCCTTTAAGATAATTTACTGCTTTGAGCACCAACTTGTATTTCTAGTCCAGGAAGGACTCATACCCAGAATAAGGTAAGGTCAGTGTGAAAATCACAGCCAGACACTCAGCCAGAGTAAGGCCATAAGAAACTATGTCAACACAGCATGTCTATCACAGATCTCTCCATTTGGACCAGCCAGCCTCTATTCTCTTCCCTCTGTTGGTTGCTCGTCTCCCTCCCTTTTAGAGCCGCACCAATTGGTTCAAATCTCTGGCAAAAAAATTAATAGCTTTGACTATTTTCACCAGAATCCCAATAAAGAAGTCTGGCCTGAAAACTTACTTATTTGTAGGCATCTAGCAAGCACAGTCTTGGATCCTTTGTGTCTTCCCCAGGCACAATATCAAAGCAAATTCTACCCTATATATTCCATTTCATTCAAAGACAACATTATTGGGATTCCGGTGGGTTATTATTTATACTCCAAGACTCCCTTAAGTCTCCACATAGAAATCAAGCCACATTCAGCTGGACACTAAAAAAAAAAAAAAAAAAAAAAGGGACCAAAGGTCTATATGAAGTCAAGGTGGTCCACCAGTCCAGCATGGCCAAGAAATCTGCAGCAGTGAAACCAGCAGCTCAGAAAGTCTCTGAACTGCAGATCCTTGGAAGGTGGGAGAAAATACACTGGGAAATTATCAGTACACCTGCTATGGGCTGCTGTCAAAGGCAGGACAGAGGGTTAGCAGAACCTTTGCTCATGCTCAGTACAGTGGCTCTGTCATGTTTAACCTCATGCACTCATGGTACCAAATGCTGCATTAACTGCTTATGTGCTTAGTTACACTTGGGCTTTGGGTACACATATACTCCTCACCACAGAAACAAATGAGAACACTTCTGTGCTGTCATAATCAACACTGCACTCTGCTTTTCTTCTTCAACACATACCACCATCATCTGACTCATGTATTATTTCTACATCTTTCCCATAACACAAAACCACACAATCCACACGAGATGCTGAAGTCACCTACAGTGTAAGAAGACCATTGTCTTCTCTGGTGTTGAGGATACTGAGACCTTTCAAACATTACAAGTGCCATGGGGTAGGACAGATGTGGTCTGTGTTCTCTGCAAAGTATGCCTCAAGCTCAAAGTATGACCATAGTAGGACTCTCCCTCCTGCTCGTAAAACTGATGAACCAAGAGCAACAGATGATAAAACACCATTCCCTGGCTTTCCTGCCTATATTCTGTGAACAAGTGGAGATGGAAAGCCTTTACAAATTTACATGGTGCAAGTAGGATGTTGCATGGGTGCCCCTGAAGAATAGTATTCCATTGTCAGTGGCAAGCCTTCCTTCCAGCTCGAATACACTGTGGGACAAGATGAATCTAGCTCAATCCCACATTGAAAAAAGCGGTGACACACACTTTTTTCTTTTCTCCTGGTTGTATTCTCCAGAGCTAACTTAAAGTAGTAGTGCATTACACTCTTTTTTCTTCTTAAAACAAACAAACAAACATCCCTTACTGCAAATTGTCTCTTTGCAAAACAAAGGCAATACTAACTTCACAAGAGCATTGTGAAGCTCAGTTTGTTCATGTCTGCCCAATGCATGATAATTACAAATATACTGTCAGTGTCAACCTTATACGAAATAGGCAGGATACATATAACTTATTTACCAAGAAACAAAAATGTAGAATTCTGAAAAGGTTTTTTTTTCCAAATAAACAAGTTTGTACAGTCTGCCTTCTACCCAAGTTGCAAGTCACTGTGGTTTATGCAGGAAGTGGGTCTGCTGAGGGCAAGAGTCTGTCTGCTTTTCAGTGGCAGGTTGGTTACTCTGTGGCTATTTTCAGTTTAGCATTTGAATATATCATGCTTATTTTTCTGCTCAGAATCAAAATAAGTACAGAACTTACATGAAATTGCTTTTTTTTTTCTTCTCACATACATAAAAGGTTTTGAAAGATAATATATTTTACAGAACAGGATTTTTGGAAAATACTTGAAAATATTTGAACAATAGTAAAACAACATTTTATATAAACACGGATATACATTAAACTACACTACAATATAGTTTGCAAGACAAGTACTTGGATATTCAGATGGCCTTAGATGCTCTTCATTGCTAATTTATGTTGAAATAGATGGAAAAAAAATGACTGTAATCTGCATTCATTCTCATTTTCTTAAGAAAAAAGAACAAACTTGTGCCAGATTTAGTTACGCAATTCCTGTTCTTTTTATTTTCTGTAAACTGTTATCTTTAAAGTAGTAAGGAATCCTACAGACACAGACCAGTTATTTCACATTCAGTTCAGTGAAGCCTGTCGTAAGAAGAGTGCACCGTTCTGCATCTTTTCCCCACCTCCTTGTTCTTTTGATATTAAGTAATGGCGAACCTGACAGAGTATCACTTAGCTCCTATTATAAGTGTGAATCACCAGCGATCCAGTGTGGCCTGCAAGCTGATTTTAATGATAATAGCTGGCCTGACTACAGCACAGAACTGGGACTACTCCTCTGGGCTGTGGTGAAGCAGGTGGAGAGAGATGATGGAGCTGTTTGGATTTACTAAATTTGATTCTGACTCTGCAAATAGGCTAAAATTATTTTGTGTCGGTCTACTGAATGTGTACGTGGCTGGGAACAGAAGTGTTTTCTCTTTACACAGAGGCTGGCTATCCCCACTGAATGGAAAAAAAAAAAACCAACCAACCACTCCAAACAAAATCCAAAAGAGTGCCCTCTCCATGAAGTGGAGTTTACTCACAGATCTGTCACACTTTGATCCAGAGACTCTCCCTCCATCTGACCTTCATTGTGGAGAGAGTCTGATTCCTGTACTTGGCACAGCTCCTCATCAGTGATTATATCAAATGCTGCATCATCAGGCGGTTTGGAGGCTTCACTTGCAACTGTACCATAAAAGGACATGAAAAGAAACATAAACAATATTAGCTGGTTGTCTGGAAAACAAACAAGCAACATCCTTAAGGGGGAAGAGTGGGCCATTCCTCTACCTTTACAGAAGCATTAGGTAACTACTAGAACCAACTGAAAACCTCTGGTTGGCTGATATTAATTTAATATATAGGCAAATTTCTGTCAATACCAATCAAATTCAAAGATGGGACCAGTCACATCCTGAAAACACTCCATGGACAGGCAGGTCCTTGGAGCAGGAGGTGACCATGTGGCTTCTTGGAGAATGTCTGAAAACCCTACTTATTTCTCCACAGCATGCGAACAACACACTAACCAAAAGCCCTCTCAGATGGTGACACAGGTGATTCCAATGAAGCTGGTGATCCTTCCTGGTTGGCACTGGATCCAGAGTCATCTGTGCTGTCCACAATGACTCTTGGCTTATTAAAGCAAGCTCTGCAGCAGCGCTCCTTTTTTCCACCAGGCTTTGTCACCATGTAGTTGTTGCAGCAGTAATAGCAGAAAATGCGACCACACATTCTAGAAATGATTCAAAACCAAAGGTGTTAGAACAGTAACACATACAGGTGGAACGTATCCACATGACAGATTTGGGGCTTTGGCATAATGGTCTTGTTCTCTGCAAAAGCCACAGCAGAACTCATGATATCGACTGTGCTGCTTTCTGAGGTGAAGTAAGTTTACTTGACAAACACAAGACAAATTCACATTCATACTTTTCTGCCTTAATAAATAGGGAAAACAGAAAAAACAAAAAAGCTAAAAAAAATTAAGTTTGTGTTTAAATATATAAGGACATAAAGCAATTAAATACCAACAAATATGCAATACAAATAAATAATATATATTAAGTACATACAAAGAAAATGTACTTAATATTACACAGGCCAAATCTCATACTCTGTTGGACCAACACTATTTGATTGTAAGGACTGTAAGAACATGTCTATATGTGTCTACTTAGTAATCACCCCTCTCCCTTCAGATAGAGAAGAAAAACCAGTGTTGGACACATACATGTACATTCATCCCTCCTGCCCTGTCTGCTCTGCAGTCTCTCAACGTGTTAATTAAAAAGTAGTTGGCAGGTTTAATACGAAGATTTTCATGAAGAAAAGCACCACACAGGGATGACTTATTTGTGGAGTCTTAGTGGTTTTGGTTTTCATAATCATTTAAGTCATTAGTAGGTAAAAACATGTGCAGGTTTCACAGATTTTAGTAGAAATGAGTAATTTGGAAGTTGTTAGCGGAAATTACTTCACTATTTATTAATCCACATCGAATGTTCTCTACATTCTTATGCAATTGAAACAGTCCTAGTACTACATACCTTACATGATGAAGCAGGTCATGAGGATAAAGAACAGTAAAGAGCCAAATCAAACAAATCGTTAGGCCCCTGAATTGTATCCACTTAAATATATCTGAATAAATCTGGATCAGGTAACTAATAACTGCAAGCAGGCTAACTGTGTAGGAAATAATAATAACTTTTTTTTTAAAAGATTACTCTGCAATCAGTAATTATCTCTGAACATACCTAGTATAATTAACCAAATGTATAGTTGCACAGCATGTTGGATTTCGTCTGGAATACTTTATCACAATAGCAAAACCACCTTAGTAAACATTGTTTTCAGCATGCACAGAGCAGTGAATAATAAATATATCAAAAACACAGTCCTTCAAAGAAACACACTATGTAGGGTGTGATTATCTTTGTTTCCAGAAATGAAAAACTGATAGACTCCAAGTCAGCACTGCATCCAGATCTTTATCTTAATATATGTCAAGGGACCTTTCCATTAATGTCTTTTATCCCCTTGTGAGCTCATGTGTTCTTTCAGTCTCTACAGTGTCCTGTACCAATGATTTTGACCAACGAACTGTAAACATTAAGAAGTATTTCATCCATGTAAACGATTATACTGAATTTTGCTTTTGAACAGCATAACAGAGTTCAACAAACTGACCTGCAGTGGTGTCGGCGCACCATCCATGAGAACTCTCTCTGGCAGTCCAGACAATGATTAACCTCTGTGTCCCCCTGCCACCTTTGCTCTGCACTAAGCTTCTGCTGGAACTCCAGAGCATCTGATTTTTGCCACAAAGCATCCTTATCTCTGCAGAGACACAGTTAAAAGAAAAATACAGAAATTATCAGTGCTGTTTTACTGTTAAACAACCTCAATTTGAATGCCGGTGAAAGCTTCACAGTAAAAATTGCTTTGCTGTAACTTTTGAGTAGCTTTTGGGACAAAAGATAGATCAAGAAACCTACTAAAGCTCTTGGGAATCAGGGGAGAAAAATACATGCCATGCAGAGAACTACATAGTTTTGCAAAACAAATAGCAAATGAAGGAGGAGATAATATTGGGTGCTATATTTTTGACTGCATTATGGAAAAGAAAAAGTTCAGCTGCTGATTAACTTGGCCATTACATGGATCTTCAATTTAGGAGTACAAGACTGAACCACCTAGACAATATCCCTTAACATCCTAAGGTAGGATT